AATACGTTCATTTGTTAGAATTTCTAAATTTGAAAGATGTTGAGAATGACCTCATTTTAATTTGCATGTATTTGCCTGTGAATGGTTTAGACATTCTATAATGTTAACATTTCCTTGTATTCTTCTTTAATGGATAATTTTTGCGCTTTTTATCCATGTTATTATTGAGTTGCAAGAATTCTTTGTAAATATAACACTTTTTGTTGTAAATTCTTTCCCCCCAGACACTGGAGTATTTTATAGAAAACATTGAGGGATGCCATTTGGAATTTTCTTAAAAACGCTACTTCACTATGAAGTCTGACTGACTTCTCTCGTTCACCTGGGTTTAGAGCTTGAAGAAATCATGTAGATCCTGCCGCCCACCCCCTTGACTTACAGGAGTGGAAATTAACTTGTGACCTGTCCCAGAACACAGGACTGGGTAGTAGCAGGCAGCGCCAGAGCCCAGAGTGCCCAGGTCCGTGCGGTCACTATTTCCACCCCACATGCCCACTCACTGTCGATAGTCCATTCATGTGTGAGGGGCACACACCCAATCATGCAGATGGTAGAGCTTTGGGGACTTTTAGTAATGGCCTGTATGTCACCAGAAGACACCATCATAACTTGATTGTCAGTAATGATCTTTATTAAAAGCCTCAAAGGAGGGACTTTTTCTTTAACAAAAGATGGATCTTATTTATTACAGGTTGGATCTTTATGAAGGCACCATCTATCCAATGCCAAACCCGTAACAGCAGCCTAACAAACAAGATGAGTTGTTTTCAGAAACACTGCCTCTGTCCCCACTTTATTCTGTGAAGTGAGGGACTCGGTCTTCACCACTATGAGCAAACACTTCTGAGGACAAAGAGTGACTGGCCTCAGCTTGTAGAATGATGATTGATGTCCAGGGGAAGTTCAGGTGTGTCCTTTCATCAGAACTAACGACAGAAATGAGCCAGCTCATTCAACAGCCAGTACTTGTCCCAAGTCCCCCAGAGGGAGTAGACCTTCTCTCACTCTCTACCTGCCACACACACGATGCAGCTGTGGGAGATGCGCCACCTCTCCTCACTTCTATCTCAGATGATGCTAGGGCCTGGACGCGCTCTCTTACCCTGAACTCCCCTTCTGCCTTCCTGCGGTCTTCTCTGTCTCTTTATTGAACCTCTTCTTAAAATGCTCCTGGGCCTCAGTGTCCCGCTGGGCTTTACTCTTGGGTCCCTTTCCTTCTTACACTAGGGGCTCCCTGGATGATATATACACCAATAAAATCTGAATTTACAGATCCTGTGCAGACCTCTCCCCAGATTATGAGACCCGTGTAACCAGCAGATCTGGACATCTCCAGCCTGGCCTTCCATGGGGCACTCCAACCCCGGCCAATCCCAAACAGAAACAGACCTTCCCTGCTGTTCTTACTTCCTCCGTTATGCTTAATATTCCAAGACAAAAAAGCTAGACATTTTACCAAGTGATAATCTTGGATGTCTACTGCATGAGTCCTTAGAATCAGCCATTTCTTTAAGGAGCCTGGTTCCTTTACAATAAAGCAGTGTGTTTAGAAGCCAAGGTCTAAGTGCTGAATGTGCTCATTGCTGTTGGGTGTCACTGTTCCCAGGCCATCTCAAAGGCAGGGCTAAGGAATACATATGTATTAGTACACAGATGCATAGTCATGCAGACACACAGAACTACAGATGTATATACATATTCTATGTTATACATAACTATACAAAACTATACACACCAACATCTCAATGTTTATCTAATACCACCAAGCTCATCCTCAACTTCTCCTTCTCCATCCATGTGTTTGTAACTTCCTCCCCTGACAGTGAGGCCCCTGGCTCCCATTGTCCTCCATGTATTTACTTCTGTGATCAGTCCCCTATGGGTCAACAACCTGTACCCCACTCCTGCCTACAAGACTCCTCACTTTGCTGGGATATTTCACTTCATGTCAGGCCACCACAGCCTTGGCCCCATGCACCAGAATACTCTCTGACCCAGCAGGAGCTCTGACACCCAGGTCCCCTCCACTTCCCATGCAGATGTTCTCCTGCCCTACCTCGAGTGACATCCCCTGCATTGTCACCATCCCCACTGCCTGGCTGGGCTACCTCACCTGCTCAGATGCCAGCAGCACCCAGCCACGACGCCTGGTCACAAGCCAGGCTGACCACCAGAGAAGGCAGTACTTAACACACGCCACCCAAAGAAATCAAAATAACCATAGGCAGTACCACATCTGGGTGCAAAAGAGGCTTCCCCTGCAAATCAATGGTCTTTTATTGCATCCTTAAAATATTGCAAATCAGCCAGATGCAGTGGCGCATGCCTGTCTGTGATCCCAGCAGCTCTAGAGGCTGAGACAGGAGTTTTGTGAGTTCAAAGCTAGCCTCAGCAATGGTGAGGCACTAAGCAACTCAGCAAGACCCTGTCTCTAAATAAAATACAAAATATTTTATTTATTTTATTTTGGGGGGGATGTGGCTCAGTGACTGAGTGCCCCCGGGTTCAATCCCTAGCACTCCCCCCCAAAATACTGCAAATCAGTCTTATAATCTGGAATCTAGTTTCTGCAGCGGCATAACTAACTCTTATTCATTAATTTGATGAACTGTTCTTTTTCCAGAGACATATTCATCACCCCCAAAATGTCTGACATCCTTGTTTTTAACTTGCTGGATGGAAGTAGCTGAATGTGAACCAAGTTCTAGTGTGTTTCCTAAGATGAATCATCTTTCTAGCTTGGAGATGTGGAATAAGCAACACCTGGCCTCACCCAAGCCCTGCAGATGCATGGTTCACCCAAGAAATTTTAGGCTTCAACAAGGGTCCCGTTCTCCTGAGTGACAGTGCTGGTGGGGAGCACACAGACCGTGCCTTACAACAGAGCCACTGTGACACATGAGGACAGACAGGGTGCACAGCAGCCAGTTCCCTTCTGCTTCCCCACCATTTGCCAACCAGAGCCTCTTCTCTTTCCAAGGAGACCAAAGTCCCTCTGCAAGGTTCCTCTGGGGCCTTTCACAATAACTGTGTGTATTTTCTGAAAGTCAACAGCCCCATTCCTGAGAATGGCCTCCATTCTCAGTAGTTTTGGCAAAGTGCAAAACAGATTTTCGAGAGGGGTTTTGACACTGTTTGAGTTACAATGCTGAGGCTGCTTCCTATCCTGCCTGTGTCTAGGGCTGCTGGGCCCAGGAGCCGTGCTTTTAAGCAAACTGACGCCAGAAGCAAGCTCTGGGACAAGCAGGATGGCCTCTCCGAACCTTGACTCCTTCTCATAATCAGTATTTGAATGTGCTTCTGGAAGCCTGGGTGTAAGAAATGTTAGAGGTTGAAAAGCTGGAGATTAAACAGCTCTTTGCCAAAGTCTCGTGGAAATGCCAAATTGAGATAAGGAATCCGCTCACGGGGAAAGCAGGCATGGCGGTTCCCATGGATGGTGAAGGGTGTGGGCTCGCAGAGCCATGCCGGGGCAGGTGCACCCACAGCGGGGCATTTACCTCTCAGTGAAGGTGAGAGGACACACGGATGGTGGGGCTGACGGGAAGGCGAGGAGAACCACACGGTGGGGAGGGGCGGGCGTAAATGCTGTGCCTTTCTGTGCTCAAGCTTCCTCTAGAGACCCAAGAAGCAGACATGCCAATCACTTGAGCAGTCCTCCATGGCCCCAGACGGCAGCCCACTACCCTGAGAGAGGGCAGAGTCGGTGGGTGAGAAAGGAAGGAAGGAAGGGAGGGAAGGAGGGAAGGAGGGAGGGAAAGAGAAAAGAGAAAGCCAGCAGAACTCAGGTTCCCCAGTGGGCAGCTGAAACCTCTGCTTATCCCCAGGCAACCACCAAGACAGCCTGACCCTGGGCTGCCCCTTCCAGGTGGGAGATCCCGAGGAAAGGACGAGTCCTCCCCTCCGTGTGTGTGCAGTAACCTGGGCAAACAGAAACCCATTTGTGAGATGGAATTTCCAGGGCAGGGAAGGTTGAGGACAGGAATGTGTGGCGGGAACATCTGTCCTGGTGTTCATGCGTCTCCCCCCCTTCCCAGCGCCAGAGCCATCTGCACACAGAAGCAGAGACTCCTGGCTCCCTTTCCAAGGGCTCAGCAGGACCAGCTGACAACACTGGTCTCAAAAGGGAGGGGACAGATTTGACCCCTCTGAGACATTTGTTTGCATGTCTGGAGATATTTGGGCTTGTCACAACTGAGAGGAGCATGCTAACTTCATCTAGTGGCTAAACATCTGATAAAGCACAGGACAGCTTCCACAACCCAGAATTCTCCCTCCCAAACTGTCTGCAGTACCAAGGCTGAACGACCCTGCTCCGGGGCAGGCTTGCTGTTGCCTGCTAACTGTTGCTCACAGAGCCCAACAACACCTGTACGTCCCAGCTTACCCCGCCCACCTGCCTGGGAAACGTTGCTCAGATATTCACAGCAAAGATTGAGACTGAGCAGGAGATTCTGTTTAGCAACACCTTGTCACCGCTGGGATGCATGTGACTTTTTAGGTCAAAAGCTAAGACTAACACCGGTGCTCACCAAGGAAAGGCAAAGAAAAAATTGATTCCGCTCACCTCAGTCATGCCCAGTGGCATCTAGTCAAGTGATTTCTCCATAGGAGTCAAATACAGTCACACCCCCGTGAGTCCCAAACTCCTGTATCCATCCTAAAACCAAAGGAAGCAACCTCGGCAACCTGCAAACTCACCCCCGGATCTCTGAATTGATCCTAAGATTCTTCCCTCCTCGTGAGTCAAAACAGCACAGAAGTTTTGACCCTGAAGTTGAGAAACAATGTCTGGGCACAATTCACCCAGCAGAGAAGCACGTTTTCCAGAATGAAGGCAGGAGGAGACAGAAGGCCTGCCAGCACACAGGGACAGCCCTCATCCAGCGCTGCAGAGGCATCAGCCCAGGAAGAGCTGCCCGGGCGGCTCCCCGAGAGGGAAGGTCTGACTCTGGTTGTCAAGGGCATCCAGAAAATCAAAAACTGGGGTGCACACTCACTGGTGTCCTTCACTCTGGAAGGGTCAGAGGTGACAACAGGGGCAGCGTCCCATCACATCCTGCGATGTCGATGCCCCACCAACCGACAGGGTCTCCGGTCCCAACATCCCCAAGGACGGCTGCAGCCTCCGGCTCTCAAGAAATCAGAGTTGCTCTCCGACTGCTGCGAGTCCTTGAGATGTGCCAAGCAGATGGTCCCACGCTTATCAGCAGAAGCCGAACATCAAATGGCATCATTCGGTGACACACTCAAGTGAAAATCTCCAGGCTGATCCAGAGTGGGAGTGCGCTGGGATGACACAAGGTGCTGAGCACCCTGTGCCGCTGTGGCCAGCCAGCCTGTGGAGACGCCCGCCGCTGTGCAGGAGAAGGGTGACCCAGAGAAATGCCACGTGGCTGGGCAAATCAGATAGAACCACTCAGTTTCCTAGCCCAGCCAGCCTGCGACTCGTCATGTGACCTCTGCTGAGCTCTTGAAGGCTCAGTCTCCTTAGCTGTAAAGTGGATCTAACAAAATTCCCTCCCGAGGTATAATGCCTGAGCGAGATGTGTGTCCAGGCTGCACAGAGGGAGGCACAAGGTCAACTAATTAGCTATCCTCCCCTTCCTACAAGCCATTTGCAGGGACTGTCATGCCCAATTTAGCACAGAAGTCCTTTTACTCCATGGCCCCTGTCCGCTTTCTCTCAAGGGACCCAGTGTAGAGCTGAGCAGGAGAATTCCATCCGGATCATTTGGATCTCAGGTAGCCAAGTCCTGCGGTAATGACCCCTGAGTCCAGTGAGATCAATTCGGAAGGAGTTCCGGAAGATGTGGGAAAGCAGACTTGGGTGGCATGTGCAACCTTGAAGCAAAATGCTCTACAGGAAGGTGACCTGGACTCTGGGGCCACCCCACCCCACCCCCTGCCACCACAGGGGAGGGGCAAGGGGAGAGAGGGTCCTTCCCTGCAGACTTTCAAACTGCAGCCCCGAAAGGAGGCAGGGGGTGGTGGCAAGTGCATTTGCATTACCTGGCTTTGATGTTCCAGGGGAGGAGAAGGTCCACCTCCTGAGAATTCACCTTGCCCAGAGGACAGTCAGAGGCTGTAAAGAAAACAAGGACGTCTGTCTGAAGCAAACTGCAAGGTAGAAAAGAAGGAGCTGTGGGACGGGATCCTTCTTGCCACCAAAGGGGACAGGCTGCTGAGAAGCCTCAAGGGAGAGGAGGGAGAAGCCAGGGGGAAGGGGTGGAACGCGCTCCCTGCCCCTCTGCCCATACTTGCTTCTTCTCAGCTCAGAGGCTGTCCAGATTTGGTGGACAGTTGTCCCTACAGGTGCTGCAAAACCCTGAGCAGAGTGACCAACTCGAAGAGAGTCTCCGACGTCATTATTTAAGTCAACAGAACAGAGGACCTCACCGATATGCTTTTTCCAGCTCATAACAGAACAGAGATGTCTGTCCACACTGCCAGAGGACAAGTTGCCCAACTCGGAAAATGACAATCACCATGCAAATGAGGAGCCAACCAGCAGGAAGCTGGGGTGGCCAGGTGAAGGGGCGTCTTACAGGGGGCTGGCCACGGGCTGCTGGCCAGGGGTCTGGAGAGGACGTCTCTCTTCCCCCAGAGTGGGTGGCAGGGGAAGGCACCAATTGTTTTGTGACTAATTGGCCCCACTAACAAAGCAGGAACTATGGCAGATGGAGCCGGGACTTTCATTTGTGGTAGATAATGATTTATACTTACAGAAAAGACAGCAACTCACAGTAAAAATAAAACTGCTTGCATTTAAGCCACAAATAGGTTGGCTATTTCTGTGCTTGGTTTGTCTTTGTGAGTAATCTTCTTGAGAGGTGGGGAGAGTTTGGGGGGAGGGAGGTGTAGCGAGAATGGGTAACAGGTTGGGCGCCGGGGTACACCCCTGTCATCCAAGTGGCTTGGGAGGCTGAGACAGGAGGATGGAAAAATTCAAGGCCAGTCTCAGCAACTTAGCAAGAACCTGTCTCAAAATAAAAAGTAAAAAAGACTGGGGATGGGCTTAGTGGTAAAGCACCCCTGGTTCAATCCCAGTACCAAAAATAAATAAAGAGAGAGAGAGAGAGAGAGAGAGAGAGAGAGAGAGAGAGAGAGAACACCAACTAAGTCTCAGGAAAAGAAGGGTCTGTGGCTCCCAACTTCCTATGTCGAAGTTCCAACTTGCATTTCATGAGACAAGTCACCTTTCCAAAGTTCTTTCTCTCCTTAGAGAAAGAACATCCCCCTCTCTCCCATCAAACAACAGAGAAACAGAAACAGGTAGAGGGGGCGGGGAAGGGGCTGTGGGAACAAGGGAGGAGGAAGCCTAACAACGGACCCACGAGGAGCTGAGCGGACCTGTGAGTGGGGGCCGTTCCTTGCTTCCACAGGGGCCCCAAAGCCTCCAGTTACCATGGGGCTTCCCAAGGTGCCAACCCCCGGGGCAGGCTGCAGGCGCTGAATTCCAGGTGTCGGGCCTATGATGAGGGGAAAACAGCCATGAAATGTTTTGCAAAGGCCCAGCACCCCCTTCAAGTTAGAAAGACGGAGGGGCGGGCCCAGTGCTCATCTCCATAGGAAGCTGGCTCTGGAGTCAGGTTTGCCAACGACACATAACTAAGCACAAGTTGTCTTGGTTCACCATTTGGGAGCAGAACAATTTCAGGTATGCTAGAAATTTGGACTTGCAAACTTGACTGGAGTGATGAGTGGTTCTGTGTCCCATCTGTTTGATTGACAGACTCTCAGAGCAGAACCCGTCCGCCCTCTGCCCTCTGGTCCTGCAGCAGAGTTCTTAGATCTCAGTGGCTAGATAAAAGTCCAAGATAAAACCCTGAGAACAAAACTCTCTCCGGCCAATCTGATCCCCTCAGCCTCTCTGATCCCCTCAGCCTCCGGAAATCTCTGGGCTTCCTGCCTATGCTGCCGGGGATTGGCTGGGGCTGTTCCAAGTTCTGATCTTTACCTTCAATGCACATTTCTTAAATGTCAAGTCTGAAGAGGTGGTGGCATCTCCTGTTTTCCTCCAGCTAGACGGGTCCATGAGGTGGGGCACAGCAAGAGCCTTCTGGACGGCAGAGCCACATCCATACATGGGGAAGACCCACCAGCACTGAGGGAAGCAGCCCTTCTGGCTAAACCCAGGACGGGTGCAAACAGACCACAGCCGCAGATTGCATTCAGATGGGGAGGGGCCAAGCTCCAGCCCTGAGTGTCCCCAGCCTCCCCCTGCACTCCAGGATTAGAATCTGCCCTCGAGGAGACTCTTCCCATCCAGCACAAGTGCCTTCAAGGAGCAAGAAGTAGACGTAAAGTGACCCAGAATGAGGTGAGCAGTCCTGACCACACAGCCCTCTGTGCTGAGGTCCCAGGAATATGCAGGAGTTCCTGTCCCCAACAGGAGGGCCTGAGACCCTGCCTGCCACCAGTACAGATCATTGCAGCTGACAGGCAAGGCCTCGCTGGCTCCACAAGGAAAACTCCCAAAGCAAGCATAATCAGAATAAATAAATGCCCTTTCTGAGTCCCCCAGAACCACCAGTGTCATGTCTGCAGGGCTGGCTAAAGTTTACAGCAGGAGAGAATAACTAGAAAGTTAACTGAGTGAGGTGTTGAGAAGCACCGCCCCGCACCATGGTGCCCGGTTGACAGGGAGAGTGTGAGTGGCTCCAGGGGAGCCAGGACAGGTGGGGAGCAGGGAAGGGCACCCCTCCCCCAGAGGGGATGTCTGGGTCTGCCCGAAAGGTCTGCAAACTCCAATGGTGTGGGAAAATACCCTCGCCACTGTAACCCCACTCGCTTCCTCTCCACCGAGGATCCTTGTGCAAAGAGCCCCGAGATGCAGAGGCCTGCACCCGTTGCCATGATCTCTCCAAAACAGACATCCCCTCAGGTAGTCTGCATTCAACTACAGGTGAGCCTATAGGAATGTCAAGGATAATTAATCCCCTACAATCAAATCTGAAGATTGCTTGTGCTTAATGTGACGTGTCTGTCCTGCCTCCATCTCAACACCATCTTGATTACTATGACTTACTATGGTAAGTCCCCCAAATTCCATTTTTTGCTCCCAGGCATTACATGAACATTTGTTAAGTGCTTGATCTCTTATCCCCATTTTGTGGATGAGGAAAGTGAGGCTTGCAGGGCTTAAATAACTTGCTGACTCCCATGATGGAGCAAAAGTAGAATAACTCCAAGTCTGAAATTCCCACCTTCATCTAGGACGTGAAAGTCGTAAACTATAATCTCTTCTCTATTTTCCACTCTTCTTCCTCTCGTTTTCTTGCCTTCATATATCCGGAACATCACACTAAACAGTGAAATTTTGTTCTTTATAGATATTTGGAAATAAGTACAGGGTGGGAGAGGCTCAAAAGTTTGTACTAATAGTTTATAAATTCCTAGTAGGGACTTCAGGACATCTGCAGCACTAACATCTCAGTGTGTGGATATACAGCTGATAATACACTCCCAAAGGATGCTTTATAGTGTCTATGTTTTGGGAAATAGAGTAGATGTCTGAAGCCTTAGCATTTATTAAAGGAGGATTTCAAGTTACAGTATTCTACTCTGCCTGACTTGAAGACTGATGATCAAGTAATCCAGATAGTGTGGTTTTGACAAAAGAACGAAGTAGAGTAATGAGTGCAATAATAGACTCACACATGTAGGACCAAATAATTTTCAAAAAGTTAAAAAAAAAGTGGGGGGAGAAAGAGCTATTCAATGAGGAAAATAAAGTCTATATAGAAAATGTAAATATTTACATAAAAAACTCAGTTCCAACCTCATATCATATAACAAATTTAAATTGAGATCATAGATCTAAACATATAAGCTAAAATTACAAGGTATATTAGTCCACTTTTCCATTGCTATAATGAAGTTAGGTACTTTATAAGAAAAAAGGCTTATTTATCTCACAGTTTGGGAAAACAAAACTTCAAGATCAGGAGGCCCATTCATTCGACCTCTCTCTGGTGAGACCCTAATGATGGATGGCATCAAGGCAGGAGAGCATGTGAGAAGGACCTCAGGTGAGACAGGTCAGAGAGAGATTCAGGTGTCAGGTTGAACAACATATTCTAGCAGAAACTACCCGGGATCCCATGAGAACTATGTTCATTTCTTCTGAGGACACACCCCCAATGACCTAACCACCTCCCAGCAAGCGCCACCTCTCAAAGATTCTGCCACTCAACATGGCCACCCCGAGGGCCCAGCTTCCCACACGTGAGCTCTTGGGGAACACATGGAAACCATATCCAGACCGTAGCAGAAAGCTTCTAGAGACTGCGTAAGACAACATCTTGTGGACTTTCTTAGGACACAG